TTTTTTTGTCTTTTCGAGGCAAGTTTCACTATGCAGCTCAGACTGGCCTTAAGCTCACAGTGATCCTTCTGCCTCAGCCTCTTGAGTGCTAGGATTACAGGAGTGCACCACCATGCCTAGCTGATGTTTTTCATTATAAAAGATCTGAACTAATTTGAAATATTAAGTTTCACTGCTATTTACTTGGGACAAAAATCCTAAATACTTTTGCTTATATAAATACTACGGTGTTTTATTATCTATTAAAACATTATGCAAATACGAGTCAGCAAGAGAAATGTCAACATTAAATAGACATTCCTTGTTGAATGTAGTCCCATTCCCATGACCAAGTCATTAAATAAGGAACTCTATGCAGTGTGTATATTACAACACTCAGAACAAACAAGTAGTCAAGGAAACTCCCACTTGATGACTGCTTTTATTTGGATAACTCTCCTCTGTAGCACTGTAACAGGACATAACAGGACATCAGAGTACAGTACTGTACTGTAGAAGAAGCCTCCGTAAGGCTGCACTGCTGCTCCCATCCTTACATCACAAGTCAACTTGTGGTCCATAAGTCTAAGCTGTGATTCTAGGTCTTAACAGTTGTTAAATGGTTAGGTCATTAAACAAGAAGCATTTTTACTGCCAATACATAGTTATTCAGCCTAAAGCAAATGGTCCACCTTACCTGTGGTATTTATACAATACACCGGACTATAAACACCAACTTTCCTGTCCCAAGGTAGTTTTGCTTTAGCTTTTACACAGTAAGTCGTCTCTGGCGAGAGGTTATAAATTTTTTGTGTGTAATGCTCAGTTTCAATCTGTTCCAGTTCCTTTGTTAAAAAAGTATAAAGTCAAATTTTAGAAGTATTTATCTTATTTTTCTCCATATCAAACAAAGGTAAAAAATCATGCTTACTTCTACATGTGATGAGTTTTTCCAGAATTCTAAGCTGAATGTAAAGCTTACAGCAGCCATATCCCATATGGAAGCATTATCTTTTTTTCCAGGACGAAAGAGGTATATTGTTATTGCTGTATCTTCAGCTTCTAAATGTACTTCTGGAGGACCAAGACGAGCTGCACAAATCAAAACAATGACTATGTAGCTTTGCTAATGCCACACCCTAACATTCACTCCATAAGTAATTAATGTGAGTGATGCACAGTAAAACAGGCAATTTCATGGGTCTTGCACTCTGGAGGGACATATAGCAAAAAGTCTCAGATACATACATACATACATACATACATACATGTGGTGCTATGTGTGCTATAAAGAAAAATAAAGTAATGAAAGGGATGAACAATGGCAGTGAGTGCTATTTTATTTTAGGTAAGTCAGGAACAAAAAACTCTCAGGAAGAAACATTCAAGTTGAGGTCTCAGTAAAGAGAAGGTTAGCTATGCAACTATCTAGGCAAAAAGCTGCTTAGGCCAGGGGGATGAAATGCAAAACCCTTATGATGGAAATGAGCTTTACATTTCAAGACATAATGTGGAGCTAGGAAGGTTGCCAGTGGCTAAAAGAGATCAGAGAGGTAGCAAAGAGGCCAAAACCTGTGAAAGCATCAGAGGGCCGAGAGTGGCTGAGGACGTCAGGAGATGAGTAGGAAAGAACCGCACCCTATAGTGCAGGCAAAGGAAGTGTCAAGGTGACCACGCCGGCACTACAGAGCACTGAGCCAGAAGAGGATCAGGCAGGCACCGCACTGGGAGGTTGCTGGTGACCTTGGGAAGATGGTGCAGTGAGAAGGAACAGAGCTTGGATGGTGAGGGATGAGGGGAATGCAGGAAAAAAGCACAGGGGAGTTCAGCTTATTCTTTGTTGAGTTTTGGGACAGAGCAGTGTCATGAACTTTTTGGTGTCAGGATTTTATACTTTTAAAGAAATTATTGAGCCTTCCTGAAAGCTTCTATATAAAGCATGTCTTTTCATCATCAGCATATTAAACATTAAAACTGATAAAATTATACAATATTTACAGATTCATTAAAATAACAATGATAAACCCAATACAGTTACAAAATTTTTTTTTTCCAGAATGAGAAAATTTAGAAGTGTGGTACTGTTTTAGTTTTTGACATCTCTTTAGTGAGTGTAGATGTGGCAGCTGTATCTAATGAGTTATCACATCCCAAATCTAACAGCCTCTTTTGGGATAGTCTACCATCCAAAAGACACAATGAAAAAGGCAGTTAGGTCTCAGAATAATAACAGAGTAATTTCACAATGATGAAAATAGTTCTGTCTTTGTGGATTTCCAGAAAAGGTCTTTTTTTTTTTTTTT